GTTCACCTCCAAATAGCAAAAGGAACAGAAATACAATCCTGCTGATAAAAATTAGTTAGGACTTCAAAACTGTGGATAGTAAAAGTGGAACCGAGCATGTTCCATTTGTTCCAGCCGGTCAGCACAAAGGAAACAGTGTTCCTTCCGCCAACCTCGATTACGATCCTAAGCAACGTGCTCTTTTCTAATTATATTATCTGAGCAGAGCCAAAGTTAATGAAAGACTGTCAGTTGCCATACCCAGACCAACTTTCATCCAGATTTCTCACAGAACTAGTTGTCGAACTTTTATACACTTCTCAGTGCCTTTTTATAGTTTCGTTGACATTGGAACAATTCTTTGGGTCCATGGCCGGCTCATATTATCTCTTATATAAAAGTCCTTATGTGCATTTTGTGCAAGGCTGTAGCGGCCGAAGACAATGAGGTTGACACACACGCGGTCGAGTAATCCACTTAAGGTAGCTTCACGGTTATGCAACATTGACAGAGCTTTTAAACACCACATCAAACATTCGAATACAGAAGAACAGGAAAGGGACCTCTTGTAGATCAAACCCATGTTACGATATTAAACGTTAGAGTAGAAAATGGCAGAAGGCCATGAAAAGGAGACAGTGGTGAGGTACTGTACAGATGATCCGCTTGGAGTGGGAGATGGTCACACCATATTATTTAGAAACCAGTGGGAATACAGCGCTGTCGGCAACTGCAGATAAGGCCCGGGGGTGGACTGACGGTAAGGGAAATGCGATACGGTCGGACGGCCGAAGCGAGGGCGGTGAAGACAGCGTTAGGGAGGTAAGGGACACCGGACATCTTCATCGACATACGATCACACCGAACCCATCCGGGATCCGCACCAAAAGTGGCCTCACTCCTCTCAAACAGCCATGTGAAACTGGTAGTGCGTTACAACGCCACAGAGAACATCGTAACGATCCTATCGATTCGCAACCTGCCATGCCAGCGGCGGTTATACCAACGCAAAACACTGGCGCCCGTAAGGGACTTCCTGGAATAGAGGGGCAACTTCCTCGCCAGCTGTTTTCAGGCTTTTCTGTGTTGACCAGGAAAAATTTAACAAGGTTACGACAGAAAACCGGATTCCCTATGGTCAATCACTCGCTCTCGTTTTATTTCGGAACTGCATGGACGACTGTGCAAGAAAAATTGGTCTAAAAGCAATGTTTGCGACAATGATTTTGACTGCAAACAGCAATGCGACTGATAGAAATCGCGCACAGATCCTTCTCGGTAGTCTTGGAGAAGACTCATATCATTTGTTTCTGCTCCACGTTGTCGGTAACCTTACCTTTCTTCCTATATGTAGGCCAATAGGCACGAGCGACGGAGGAGACGATTTTTTCGACGGGGCAACATAACAAAACATAGAAGTACAAATGGATCATTATTTGCTGACTATGAACTGTCAGTATTCCCTCGTCCATTGTCAAAGACGGTAGAAAACGCACTGCCTGTACTAAGTAGCCAAAGAGGGTGGTTTGAATGTTAATGAAGACCTCTTATACAACATCTTCGGAGCACTTTTATGGCGCATTTGGAGTGAGCCACAAAATTCTGGACGCCTTGGGAAACCAAAATATAACGTGTACCGAAAGACTTCGGAGAAATGCCACTTAACTTGTTAATGATAAAAGTTATTTTTTTAGTGCAAGTCGTGATGATAACCGAAGCCCATTTCCTTTAACGTATGATCAAATGCACGGAGATCTCACTCAAGAGTTCACCGCCGTGAATGAATTAAATAATGGAGTAATCTTTAACAATCTCCCCTAGCTTAAACCTACACCCAGTCTTTGAGTCTACCCATGAATACTTCATACTGATTAGGCAACTTTAAAAGACTAAAGTTCTCCTTTTCTCTCAAAGAGGTTAGGATATGAAATGCCCTGTTGTAACTGATGTGACTTCAGACACAAAATTTCCCTCAAAACCAACTTTCGGATTTTGTGAGCTAATCAGACCATTCTTAACATACCTCGCTTTCTCCAAAACCCTGCGTTTTGCTTTCCAACAATCCTGCTTTCGCCCACAAAAGTAAACTGAACTGAACTTAATGGCTGAGAGAGAATGGAACTCCTACTGGGTATATTCCGCCGGAAGTTGTACCAAACCGATCCTTTATTACAACAGTTTCGGAACCTTCACTCACATGATTCCTTTGGTATTTTCACAAAGCCCATACTCACTAAGTTCCTGGAAACTCTTATTAGTATCGCGGCCGGCAGTTAACGCATTAAATAAAAGTCCGCTTCTGGAAACTTCAGTTATTAACCTAGCTTTACTTCTGTGAACATTCTCACAGGGGGACCGCTGTTCTAAAAACGAGGGGCATTACGAATAGTTTTATGCCCTTGCTAGGTGGGAAACTTCAAATGAGGTAATAGCCCGGGCGGGTGAAAGGGTCTGCGCATCTGGCTGGGTGCGTTTCCTTCTCTTTCTTAAGTTTGTTTGCTGGCATGCAGCCGTATTATGCAAGTGCGAGTCTACATGCTGATAGTTCAGTCTATTTTTTCCTTGTGCCGCCGTTACCAATCCTCTTTTTACGATAGGGCATGGATGGGTAAATATTAGGTGTTAGTACGAGGTATTTTTCGCCCCTGAGGGAGGTTATTGTACAATTTTCTCACATGTGAGAACACACTGTTTTGTTTGCACATAAAAATGACAGAAACGAAAGATTCATTGTAATCTGAAGTAAATGCTTAACACTGATTCAGTCACTCGAAAGGGTGTTGTGGGTTGTTGGGCCAGTTCTCTGAATGGAAGTTTGGTAGAATAAATTTTAGTTAGAAAAGAATACCTCGGAAAAAGTGGGACTGATTTATCTACTGCTTTTCGTCCGAATGAACTTACAGACCACGCCTTTGTGGTTCGCGAACTGTCGGGAGTTGTTTTATTTTATCCCAGCAGCCTTCGTCACAGTACCTCACGTAAGACTAGTCAATACAATAATTGTGGAGGCTCACTTATTTGTGCAGGGCAAGGCGCTCATACATGAAGAATGTCATGGCGATGAGGGCATGGCTGCCAGCGCAGAAAATGCTTTTCCTGGTGCTTTAAATCTTACAAACAACACTGCAAAACAGGCACAAACTACTCTCACCCAATTCCTCTTTTTTATGGGTCCTCCGCGCACAAGCATAACCTATCGGCAATTTGGAAGTCTGGACTATGTAAATCCCCCGTCTCATAAAGTTTGCCCGCAATGTGCCTAAAATTTCATTCACGACGATTCGAGGTAATGCGTTTAGCCAGGACTCAACGCGTGCAGTCTTGACACCATATTAACTCGTGCCACAGATCTTTGGATTCCAGTTTGTTTCAGTAATCTCGCGTGAAGATAAAAGTTTCCTGTTAAGGCAATACAGCCGTGTACGTAACCCTTATGTTTTTTTTAAGAATGGGTCGTGTCTTCCGACCATTCCCGTGCCATTCTGCATGTTCGCCTAACAGTGAAGCTTGGAGTCCATACCTCACCTCCATTCATTTGCATTTCAGGCCTTCCGAATGTGGCACTTCTTTTTATTAGCTGTTCAAAAGCAAAATTTTGGCTTATTGATGTGGTCATATAGGCTACAAATTAGTCCATCGCCCTCTATTCCGCAGACACCATATGCGGCACGTAATTTTATTTGCAGGTTTCCCCGGCCCCCACTACGGTCTCCGTAATCTGGCTGCAGAGCGTGAAATTCCCTCACCTATGGTTACTCTTCCTCTCCGTAGTACACCAGTCCTAAGTGGCAATTTACTGTCTCCGAGGTAGTTGTTTCATAATATTTGAGAGAGAGAGAGAGGAATGCTTTATTTTGAAAATAACTTTCAAAACTTTCAGCAAGTTTTAAGGGGCTGACAGCTTGAGTTGATTCGTTTCGATGTAATGCTGTTGGTGCTAATTATAAGGGGACCCGTTGCTATTGAGGTGGACCTGCCTTACCTTGACTAACTATATTTTGTATATTATTTCCCTGCCGTTTGTTTGTAAACACCTTTTCAATATAGATTCGTCATGACGTTGGCACGGTTGCCAAGGCTATCTATTTGATCTTAATGTTTGGACTTTAGTGTTTTACGTCTCACCTTTGGGCATAAGTGCACGATGATCCCGGCCTATCAGTCAGAATTTATACATAAGCGACTGTTTTGTAATCTCCAATCACATACGACCAACACTAAGATTGCCTGGCTTTGTATGTCATGTTTTTGGTCCTTCCTGGTACACATGCAAATATCCTTCTAGTTTGTGTACGCATTATGAAAACCCATATTTTGTGTGAGAGCGAAACTGTCACTTTTGTACTTCGCCAAGCAGCAATCTTAGATTTTAGATTGAGACTTTATCTTGAATATCACAGATCTATCAGAACCTTGATCACATGTAGAATTTTCTGTTCAATTGAGAATCTTGAAGGACGAGTTGAAACTTGCAGTTTTTGACCTAGTTTGGTATTGCTTTGTAAGGTATGTGCAGACGCTGCTTTTCCAAACTCGCATACCTCCAGTCTACGCAATTTTCTCTCGTATCGACAATTTTTTTCTTAACTCTAAACAGCTGTGTTTTCCACACTAGATACCCTTCTCCAACGCTCATTTGGAATAATTAAACCAACTTTGTATTCTGCTGCAAAATTGGCATGAGAGAAATATCAAAACCGGCACGTGTTATTCGTGTCGGTTCCAGAAAAAGCCAGCTCGCCCTTGTCCAGACAAATATTATTATTGAAGGACTTCAAGAAAATTTTCCCGACCTCCGTTTTGAGGTTGTTAAAATTTCTACCAAAGGAGATAAAATACTTGACGTCGCCTTATCGAAGATTGGAGACAAGAACTTGTTTACAAAGGAACTGGAACAGGCATTGTATTCGAAAGAAGTTGATTTCGTCGTACACTCTCTGAAAGATGTTCCAACTGTTATGCCACCTGGTTTGGTCCTAGGATGTGTCAGTAATCGTGTGTCTCCATTTGATGTTGTTCTGATGTCGAAGGCCAACAGAGGCAAAAAATTGGCTGAATTACCACGAAACTCTGTTGTGGGTACAAGTGCGTTGCGAAGAGTTGCTATCCTCCGGAGGAAGCACCCGCACCTCGACTTCTCTTCCATTCGAGGCAACTTATCTACTCGCCTTCAGAAACTTGATGCTTGCAGGGAACCAAAAAACACTGACTGCGAGCCCGCCGGCCACCCCTCCACTTATGATGCGATTATCCTTGCCGAGGCCGGTATTCTCCGTCTGGGATGGCAAGGCAGGGTAGACGAAGTAAGTCTTTTTCACTTTTAGTCACCGCATATGTTATCATTAAGCGCACACATCGAAGGCTCTCGTGAGCATTCAATCTATTTTTCAAGTTCGTGCAATTTTTCGGCGCATCCACAGAAAAGTTCTTTGAAAAGACTCCCCAAACATAGTGTGTTAGCTTGTCAATATAATTGGCAAAACAAAGTGTTTTGTGCGCGACTCCAATGTCACTTCCGAAATGTTAGTGTTTAGGTGAAAAATTGTTTAATAGAATTAAAACCCAGGTCCGTTTCCGTTCTAGAGGTTAAAAGGGCAAGGCCACTTTGTTCTATTCTTCATGAAGAGCGAAATTTGTTCAGCAAAAATTAGAATGGGTTTGACTTTCGTTGCCTCAAATGCGCGCATCATTGTGTACGTATGTCGAATAAGGCGTAATCAGCAACGCCGGTACTATAATGGGTTAGAAATGAGTTTTCATTTTATTCCCTAATGACGCACGCGGGCCCCTATCAGCCACCCGGATTGCTTGTTCGAGATAGTATCATCCGGAATTTAGGCATCCAGGAGCCAAATCATAAGTCAGCAGTTGTATGGAGACCTCTTTAATTATGGCTCACTGCTTCCGCACCGCATTGCAGTCACTCAATTTTTCAGTATTTTATTATGTCAAACGACAGTACTTCATCCCCTGATAGTCGAGTTTTATGAACGGAACTTACCTGTTACCCGAACTTCGGGAATTTGGGCGCGTTCATGGGTAAAGGACAATGAAACTACTGGCTACGAAATAGACAAACTCTTGGGTCAGACAAGTAAGAAGTCACAGATCATTCAGTAGTAATAACCAGGAATCGCTAGGCTTCTGTCTGGCAAGTCGGTTTCCTACTGCTGTGTGTCGCAGTCCTGGAAGTTGTTAGATGGAAATGCCTGTCCGCGAATCCAGGAGCTACACGAAACTATTCCTCCGCAAAGTCGCCTCAGGAACCATTGTCTGACGGACTACGGTTTTACTGACTTTTTGGGCGATCAGAGAGCTATAACCAGAACGTCCGAGTTGGACTTGCCGACGATCAATAACGCCAGGAGAAACACTTTTTGCCCAGCGATAACCATTTCCATCGCTTTTTCGCGGCCATTTGCTCGCCAAATGTAAGGGCGTGCCAGGCCTCAGTTCACGCAGTTCCACCCTCCGTCACTCATTGATTAAGCCAACGAGCACACCCGTCTTCGCTGTTAGAGAAGCAAAATCTACAAAATTCACTTCTGATATTTTGCTGAAGGTGAAATTAGGCCATGAGGAATTAGAATACTTTGTATTCTTTACTCTTTAACTATTGAAGCATCGCCAAAACAAGTGAGGTAGAGTATATGAAACAATAGTCCCATGAGTGAAGGTGCTGCTGCTTCCATAAAAATTGCAGTCTGTGTTAGTTCTCAAGCATGTTGGCAAACGACCAATAAGTTCACCACACTTGGTGGAGATTTTCGTTGCAACATCTCTCAAGTTCTTGGCTGCGTCAGGTGTCTTTTGATGTCTTAATAGCTTTGCATGCACGACTTTTCCACTTCCTTATCACTATCAGATCTCCGACTACACAGTTTCTCGATGACAAGGCGCTATGAGTCCCATGTTGCTTTGTGGAGTCGAATGAAACTCAGGCTTTCTATTTTAAACTGACTACTCTGTGGTAGATGCTGTGTGAACCCGAGCTAACCTTTCCTTGCATCGCAACATACCGGCTTTTGTTTATCCCTAAGCTCATGCGTTCCAGCTTCTAAGATTCTCCGCGAATGGTCATCTGGATGAGTTAAAAGACCAGATACATCGAACCTTGGCTCTAACCATCAACCCGTCCCTATGATGGCGCAGATTTTAGACAGGGTGTACTCGTAGAACCCTCTTTGTGAACTATTCTGATTACAGACCGGGGGTCTCAAATATCAACCCGGGTATAGGGTTCTGTCTTCAATTTAACCGAGCATGTGAGTCCTCAGTATATGCCCGAGTAAATAAAACGGAGGCCAGTTGAGCATCGGAATCATCTTCTCTATTCTGGACTTTTGTACTCGTACAGGAGTCCACTGTCAAGGATGGCATCAGCAACAGAACAAGTAGCAGTTACGACATGATTTAACCGGCCAACGACCATTGCCGCCTATCTGGAGATTATTCCGCAGGACTCTGTACGCGGACGCAAGATCAATACGTCGATTGAGGGAGTTCTCATCGAAGGCGTAGGTCTTAATCGTGGCTTTGGGTAGTCATTCCATGTAAATTGATTGCGGAAATGTCGGGCCTCGCGTATTTTCTTCCGTGCAGCCGCGATGTTTAAATTCTTTTGAAGACTGTGGTCACACAACTTTGCTTGTCGTGAAGACCGAGCAGCTGCCTGGCGTTCGTTTCCTTCGTGTGATTAGTCTTTGCAGTTTTATCTTTGGGACTTCTCCCGACGAGAAAGTCAGGTAGGCGCACACCTGTTGTTTCTTTTCTTCTCTTGCAATCTGTATATTCGGGAAGATTGCGTTGAGCGTGTCGTCCACGTAACAGCGCCAAGAGATTGGCACATGCTGACCGAAAGCAGTCTTTTCTAATTCCTGTAGGACCACATAATCAGATAATGAAGAGCCCATTACCTTGCAACTGGTCTTCTCCCAGGTTTCGCCTTTAAAAGTGGAGTAGGTTTTCTGCTGAATTTTAAACAGCCTCACGATATGCACAATCTTGGACGGGTTCTGCGTTCCATCATACCCTATTCAGTCTTCTACTCAAGATATCATGCAGAAAATCCGGTAGGATGGGTGTGAGCATTGACATTACGTCGAAAGCGATCAGGAGTTTATCTAGCTGAGTCGTTCGCTTATGTAGGTGTTAAAGAAATTATGATACCGGTTGCTGGTTAAAATCCTGGTCATTTGCTGTATGGACCAGGGGGTGTGGAGTGAAGCGCCAAGGTGTGGGCTCGATCGTCTCATCCGCCTGCGCCCTCTCCCGCCTCCGGTCTTTTTCACTCTGTCTTGACACCGGGTCCAGGTGGGGGAGAAGGAGAAAATACAATAGATGCTGTGCAAATCTATCATCAATATAAACCCCTGCGCAAGTCACCGTCCCTGCTCCCACTGCTGCTGCTGCTGTGGGGCACACGGTGGACATCATCGAAATCGATGTTCGAACTGTCATAAACTAACTCACGCACAAGTCACCGTGCCTGCTTCGCCTTGCTGTGGAGCACACGGTGGACATCGTCAGATGCGACGGTTAAACTGTCAGGATACCGGTCGGACTGAGGCAGTCGGACTATCTGAGAGAGACTTCAGTTTGGAGCACATATGATTTGTCAAATCATAAGCTGGGCTGTCGTTTAGGTCAACAGTTACCCTTCATTGGACATTTGGTCTTTTTATCTTTGGCGGACCCCATTATCGCGTTAGAACAGTGTCAGTTGGTTTCATTTAGCGTCATGTACCCCGTGACCACATCCTTGCACCAGAATTTTGTAATTAGTTTATCTAGCCGATCTGCTGTTCTTTTAGCCTGTGAGGTCTCTAATGGTCTGTAAAATTCTTTGTCATCAAGAAGAACCTCGGTTTCCCTACTGTGGTCTCGTGGGGTCCCTACGGGGTCATTCGTCTCTTATCAACGAACACGATGATAATTTTCACATCCTTTCTCAGTTCCCCGTAGCCTTTAATTCACTGCGCACTGCACTTAGCCGGTATGTGTGCCATCATCGAGGAGGTAACTCCTTATCCAACGAAGTGTTTTTCGTCGTCGGTTTTGCTTCGCTCTTCTCAAATGCCCGGCTCATCTTCACTATGCTTGTCTGATTGTCTTTTTTCGGGACCAGGTCGTCCACCGCAACTTGTGCGTCAGGCTTAATGGGGCATCGGTGGTGGTCATGTTCTTCTTTTATCTTTCCCCACCAGACTCTCACTGACTGTCTCTATGCTGTGGGTCAGGGCGCCCTGGCCTGTGAGTGTCGGGAGGACGATCTTGAGATGCAACGCCTCCTTGCATCAATCCACGATGAACCGGCTGCCCTGGCCTGCATCGCCGAGCGCGCCTTCATGTCCCGTCTGGAGGGCGGCTGCAGCACGCCGATGGGTGTGCAAACAAACCTTCTGCCGGGCGGCATCGCAGGCGCGGACGCCCTCGCTGGGCGCCCTCGGCAACTCTCAATGCAGGCTGCTGTGCTCTCTGTCGATGGCAGTCAGTGCATCGAGGGTCATCTAAGTACCCTGCTCCCTACCTCGGTGCCCTCGATTAAGGCACCCGGTAAAAGGGCAGCGGATGGGCAGAACGGCCCGCAGCCACCGCCACTTAAACGAGCACGTGCATGGTCCGGCAACTGGGATGCCAAACTCGAGGACTCCGAGGCCCTCTGGATTAAAGACGAATATAGTGAGGTGAACGAACCCCTATTTTGCCGCAACTCACCTCATAGCGGTGTTGTTTTTATAAAACGCTGCACCCAAGGCAAGCTAGTTCATCACGTGTCCAATTGGCAGTTTTTCATGGCGGTTGGGAGACCGTAGTGCTGTCCGCCAACCATCAGTGTCGCGAATTTTTGAGAGCTGACGAACCCAGGCTCACTCTCACTCTAAAGTCCGTGTCAGAAGTGCAGGTGATTATCTGGACATAACGAACCGGAACCACTGTGTCACACACAGCAGCAGCAGCAATGCGATATTATTGCACGCTTTGGTAGATTTGAAAAAAAAAATAAGACTCTTCGCCTAACTTGGATATGGTTACACGTGATTTCTCATCACGTCTTTATCCTCGTGTCCTTGTGGCCAAACCGTTGTGCAACCGAAGTTCGTACTCGTGTGCTTCCTTTGCTTGAACGTGATATGGCTGCAATTATACCTAATCTAGCCGGTCTCATTAATTTCATGAGTTGTAACTCGGCGCACAACAATATGCAGCAGTGACTAATGAGTTTGGCTCACTCTCTTGCATCGGCGAAGACTGAATACATTGGTCCGAGAACTGCCACCATGCCTCGACAAACTGTGTCGAATCAGGTTTTCATCTGATCTCATCATCGCATCCAATGAGGCAGCAGCAATAAACTCGTCCAAGACACTGTCTATTGCCCTCAAATGTACTGAACTGCTTCCTCGGCAGTCTAGCAATATGCTACCAAGCCATCATGAAGCCCCTCCTCCGTGAGAAAGGTTTGACCTTCACACCTGTCGTAAATAATGACTCCTGGGGTGCAAGTAAGCCAAACTATCGATCCAAAGTGCATTCCTTCGCTTGACCGAATTCCGCCGCCAACGCGCGTGCCGCTGACTGACCCACCAGTATTTAGATCCAAGGTCATATCATGTTATTACTATGTGGGTCAGTTGCTTCTTTCGCACACACGCTCACACCTCTTACACCTCCAGTTGTGCTTTTTCAACTGACAGTTCTCAGGGTAACGCAAGCTGTCTATTAATTCAAGATCCTCAAAATAGTATAAGGCGTTTGACGGAAAGGGTGTGTTTGTATTCCGACCTTTAAATCAGCGGCTTTGGCTACCCATCTTCAAGGACCGAAGAGTACTGTGCACAGTTCCCACTATGTGATATATTGGTAGCATGTAGCTTTGTCGGGGTGTGGATAGCCAATGGGGACTGTGGGTGCCAAACTGACCCGTGGCTTTCGGCATGCAGGTCTCTTGCGTCTTCCGTGACTGACGCGCCCGAACCTATTGCAAAGTAGCAGGTCCGCAGGTTAATTTTGTCTCTAGTACTACGGGGAATCTGCCTACGGTCACATTCCACCTACGGGATGCCCCTCCGCAATTTGGACTGACCGAAGTCTATTCGAGTTTTCATGAGGCACTCGATTCCTCCCAACAAATACTAGGAAAGAGGTATTTTCCCTAGACTTATCGTAATGCTTTATCTCGTCAGGCTTGGACACTCACATATTGCGATGGATTCCTGCTCGCCGGCGTAGCGTGCATATACCACTTTGGTTGCCGTGCCGTAAGTGATTGTTGCTACTATTCCCAGACGGGCTGCGCTGACTGAATGAGCCCTTAACCATTGTCGCACATGCGTACGACGAACGTTGGATGGAGGTTCTTCGACACCCTAGACACTACACCCGTTCTGATCAGCCGGTAAAAAAGGCACGGACAGGCCACTGGTGTACGGGAGAGGGAAGAGGGGGTTAGGCCGATTCTGAGGCACCCATCCTCATTGCATACTAGCTCATTCATCACCGAATCAAGACTGACGCGCTTGAATCAATTGCAAAGTGCTAAAATCCTGACTTGAAAGGCTGACAGCATAGGTCAGTTCTCCTTACATGTGTAACCGCCACTGTTAGTATTTGACAGCCTGCCTGTATATCTTAATCGAGCACCTTGGGGTCTCTCGTTGGTGCTTCGGACACAGCCAGTAATCTACTTTAGTCCGTCTACATGTCTGCAATCTCCATCGTGTTGTGCTAAGAGTTTGAAGGGTGGGTTGAGCAGTGTGTACCAGACAAGGACTATCTTGTATCAAGCTGCGTAATTATTTACCATAATGACAACACAGGTAGAAGCTAAAAGCCCAGACACGCGTGTTCCGCCTATCTTGTGTCGCCGTCTGACGCAACTGTGAGGGGTTCGGCTCATCAGTGGGTCCCCCAACCTTCCCCGTGTGTTTTCTGGCATATGGACTCCAGTTTCATTCTGCCTTGTTTAATTTCCGGGGAAATTAGTGCGCGAACTTGGAGTAAATCTTTCGGAACAGATCTTTTTAGGCACGGTGCGAAATTTGATATGAATATTTGAGCTGAAATCCATCAGCTACTGCGGAATAACCGCGTTATATTCACAAACCGCCAACAGGCAGCCAGTAATATAGAACTGTGTAATTATTCGCCATACTGACAACACAGGTGGAAGCTAAAAGCTCAGACACGCGTGTTTTGCCGATCTTCTGCCGCTGCCTGACACAGCTGCGAGGAGTTCGACCCATCTTGTATCAGACAAGGCTCTTATGCTTTTCCTGGTAGTAAGAAAAGGGGGTTTTCGCCCCGAATATATCTTACTCGAGAATGGCCTTTCAACTGCTTCATTGTGAGTAGCGTGTGCGTGAAGTGCCAGAATTCATTGGCTGCGGTCCTTTAATGTATCGTTAAACAGGAGAGGGTATTCGAATAGACCTAAATATCCACACATTTGCCATACGAGTTCGTGTTAGTCTGTGCACGCTGTCTTTCCAATTATTGTGTCGCCATCCGCCTAAGTTTGCCTCCTCCAATAATAACCGCCTGGGTTCTAAATGTTCCGCCTCCTTTCAGTCATTTCTTAGAAAATTGCATCTTGTAGGCCCTTCTTTTTTAAGCCTAGGACGTTTCATCTTCAAAGATTTATTAATATGTAAATTTTGGAACGTTTGCTTAAACATGGAAGGAACTTATCTTCAGGCATATGTGTTCCCTCATACTTGTTGTAAGGTCTTATTAATTTCGATGCCTCCTGTGTCAGCCTAAAAATACTTAGCAATGCGTATCAGGGAACGCATATACACTCCGAGTCATTTCGACTTCCCTAAGACATAGAAGGACTACGATTGGGTTTCGAACGATTTTCCGAATGCTCGACTCTTTAAATCTGAAATACTCCAGGCTTTTAGTTAATACTTTTCAAGAGGTCTGGATATCGCACTGTTGATTGTAAGGAACGGAAATAACGGTGCAGCATACGCCGGTCAAGTAGGGCTTTGTTGTAGCATACCGATGAAATCTTTTGTTTGAAAAGGCTTCATATCACAATCATCCCAAGCCCGTCGTGGTCACCTCTCACAAGAACTGTCAAGGCACTGACTACGTGGGTCACTTCGTCATTCTTTGAGCTGGAGGCCAGGTTGCAGCAGTCCCTTCCCGGTGTGGTCTTATGACAACTGCTTAATATTATGATATGTTGGCACATGTGTGGCACGCGTAGACCGGAACGAGCGACCGGCTATCCACTGCGTTCACACCTACCCCCAGTCGGCTCGACTTTGTCTTGTCACTGAAAACTAGCGGTTGTTTGAAGAGAGGGCGGAGAAACGAAAGCTCATTGCATCTCAAATCGTGTGGAGGTCATCACAGATCCACGGAGTTACATAGTGATGGCCATCATCGCTTTCAGTGAACCAACGACTCCAGTTATCGCCTTGTATTTCCCTCGCGTTTCGTATGATCGGGAAAACTCCGATGAGGGTCATGTCGTCGACGAATAGATGATGCCTCGTCCGACAGTTGCCTCCCTCACCATCTCTGTCTGCTTTGCGTCAATTTGGTCCAGCCTGGACAAACAGACGACCTTCGTGCTCAGCCAACAAAATCGAACCAGTTCCGTAGTTAATTACGCTGTGAGAGTTGTTTCTGTGGGAATATTTATTGCCTGATGAGACAGTATCACCTCAAGAGCCGCCTATTTTGCCTTTCTCCTGTTATAGCACATCAACTAGTCCGCAAAGATTTTCAGTTAACTGCGCATCCTATCGTCACCCCCTTTCTTCCCTCTTATCTTTTATCTTCATCCCTTCTAGCCTGTCCAGGGCTCCGCTATACAGAAGCTCATAAAATACCAAACTACTCGACCTTTGCTATGCTAAGTTGCCGCCTTCCAGTTGATCTCTTTATCGGTTTTATCTCTTGTTCTTTTTTGGTGCACCCACAGGAGGAAGTTAAAACGGCTGGCGACGAGAGGGCGATCATCCTTGGCATCAATGTGCGCCCAGCCTGTGCCATCGCGCGCCTTCGAATGGCTAGGGCGCGCCGTCTGGGTCAAGAGTTGGCCGACCAAGTGCGGAGAGCTGGTGCCGATAAGATTCTGGAGCAAATCGTCCATGCTAACGTTAGCACTCAGTCTCCCCCTGACCCACAAGCAGATCCACACATTCAGGCCCCACTAAAGAAGGCTGCACTGACTGAGTCTGCGGTGGTGCCTGCCCACGAAACTGAATAAGACCATTTTCTAGCTCCTGTGGCGACTTGCTCTCCTTCCCTCACAGTACTACTTCGACTGTGGCCTTGTTTACTACCTCCTAGGCGGTTTTCCGACCGTTTTTGTCCTACTCAGTCTGTTTAGGGACTACGTACCTGTAGATATCTAGCGTATATTTTCTGGAATTTGTCAACGCCGAATGCTTTTGTGACCTGCGTTTGCATAGTTAAATAGAAATTTTACTGCACTGCTGTCTTCTTACTGACACCTATTCCCGTGTATTTCATCCTCTCGCCTCCACAAGTTTTCCACGACCTATCTCATAGTTCAAGTTGTGAGTGGGAACCGGAGTCTAGTGGGGTAGACTTCCGCTACACCCACCTCACCCTCCCTTCTCATATTGCGTTCCATAACTGAGTCCAAAGGATTATTCGTGGATTTGGACGCTAGTTGATACCAAGGTCCTCCTCCTTCCGTCGTGTACCACGTATGGGCTGATCCCCTAACCGAAGACGGAGTCTTAGCAACCTGGCTCTCAAGCCCTTTGGTCGGGCCTTTCTGTCAGTTGACAGTATTTTTCCGCCTTGGCCATTAAGGCACCGCGGTAGTCTAGACGCCTGTTAATCAAACCATTGCGTTAAGATGTCGCTCGCCGTCGGCGTTACTCTGGGGCTGCCAGACCATGGCCGTGCATGTCTGGAATGTGCGTTCACAGTGCGGACCGATGGAAAGGGGCGACTAAACGCCACCGTATTTCGCAATGCAGTGTTTACTTCGTTGCAATAGGCGCAAAAGTGTCCTACAGGGTCATTGCGGACCTTGGGAGGGCGCTGGTACCAGGTAGACGTGGTAGGCAGTGTTATCCGTCCGTACGTATTCCGATGAAACTCCCCTGTCGTTTCGATTTGACGCTTGTGTTCGCGGAGTTTCAGGAAGACTGATCTAGACCTCCTTTTGTATATATAATAAGTCATTTTAACAAATGCTTTTAAATAAGTGATCCGTTAACTTTTAACCAACACTTCACGCCTCGCCAACGTATAGTTGTCGAGACCAAATAGTTGAATCGGGCAGTCTGCTGCCTCGCAAGCCGACAAACTTTACGTGGACAATGCCTACTACATTCGGGGGTTTCCTGAAAATGGAATTCTACCGCTAGAAATCGGCAAAATAATTCAAGTCAATGCGGGCCTATGCAAGTTAATTGCGTCTAAGGCATCGTTGGAATCAGAGACCAAATTGCACCGTCATTGTTTTAGTCCTTGTCGTAGTACATCCGACCGCCAGAGTCCGTCTTATAAAGCTACACCGGGGGAGGGCCCCCGTTAATAGATGCTGCATGTCTTGTAGCCGAGGGTATGCCATCGCAGCTGCTCTGTTCGTTTTTTGCTGTTACTGGAACTCTGGGCTACTTGTTTGGCACAAGCTCTTCTTGTGCCTTTGTCTTGACTAAAGTGTAAGCAGGGCCTCACGTTTGGCTTGTAAATATCGCGAGTACTCGGTGCAGACCGGAGAGGGGGTAAGCAAATTATAAACCTCCTCGAATCGAGTCATACTGAGGTCGCATTCGCCTCTCCCGCCTATGGGCGTTTCCCCGGCCGTGTGATGTAGTCGTGTTCAGATCTGTGGTAAGGTGAACTTTCGACCTGGCACGGTCACTGCCCACTCCTTTGTGCCAACGAGTTGAGCATCGGCAGTTAGCTATTTGCAGTCCACCTTGTCGTCAGAATATGTTACCGCCCTCTGAAACCTGTTATATACCGCATCGAGCTTTTCTGAATGAGCCTGTCTCCACGGAGGTTTACGCCCCACTGCGGACAACTTGAGGGGCATGTTGCTAGTGAAAATAGCCATTTCGAAGTCCCGAGTCTGGGACCCATGCCTTAAAGTGCTCCGACCCGGTCATTATTACTGTGTACAGGTAATATGTTGGAGTTGCGTAACCGTAGTCCCCACACTACTAATACTTTCGTAATAAGAATGCAGTTGGCCTGTGTGTACAGTGTATAAAAGTTCTCTAGTCACGTTAATCATTCGTAAATGTTCGGAAATTGGTTGACTTTCTTGCACAGCAACGCAAGTTTGAGGGCCCCGAGAATAGTTGTCATAGTACTTTTTATCTTCGCTAGTAACCACTCAAGTTGAACGCAACGTCTTGTCCTACTGACTCCTGTTACAGGCCGACTTTCCCACCGCGCATCGGGCTAAACTTGGTCCCGCACCCACCTTGGAGGTCATTCTTCCCTCTTGCACGCTCTACTCTATTTTGGCTCACATGCTGTTAGACTTCCTACTTGAAGGGAATAAACAGCCGTCCGTTTTCTGTTCCCAACCGATTCGGCCCTGTAATTACTGCTCTTGTAGTCTATCAGCCACACTATATGATAAACAAAGATGTGCTGTGGTAATGTTTGGCCGGCAGCTCCTGTCTGGTGTGCGCCCCACCGACTGGGCTAGATTGTTTGTCCCGCCTGTTTAGAAACTCATAGGTGTAATGGCAGATTTCAAATAATTCACTTTGACCCAATTGTGAAAACTCGGCGCCTCGGTGGGATTTGAACCCACGACAGCAAGGGGAGGCTTAAGTACAGCCATCGCTCTAACCATTTGAGCTACGAGGCCCCAGTGGCTCAGATGGTTAGAGCGTTGGCCGTACTGAAGTCTCCCCTTGCTGTCGTGGGTCCGCATCCCATCGAGGCACCGAGTTTTTCACAGTTACGTCAAAGTGAATTGTTTCGAAACTCGCCTGGTTCTATGAAAGTGCCGAGACCTCTGTGGGCTACATCTTCGAGTTCATATGTATAGTCTACTGAATTTCCTTAAGTAGATGCTTTGTGTTTGGTTAATTTCAGTAGTTTGTGCAATGAACTCCAAGGCTAAACGGAAGGCCTTCTACCGGCGGTGTGCCGTAGGCGAACGACGGGCAAAGCAGCGCCGAATGGAGGCCGCTGGAGAGATACCAGAGTCTCCTCTTCCTCGTCGCTACATTGAACCCGGAATGACTGGCGTACTGGTCACTTACAATAATCGAGAAGACCACCTAGCGCGCGCGGATGCCTATCGTCTTCTAAATGAGGCCCATGAACGTTTAATGTGTACTTCCAATCAAGCATCTCCTAAAACCCCTAAAAACGCTGAAGTTCCTGTACCTCCAGCTTCCGAACATAATGTAAAAAATGAAGAGGATGCTGACCATGATGCTGATGACGACGATGTGGTTTCCTCCCTTCGCAAAGAACTCGTATCCGAACAAAAGCGATTACGAGATCCCTCCAAGTTCCTCTTTCATGCTGTCAAGACTGGCGTGGCAAACTGCCTCTTTGTTCTCAACCAATCTAATAACTGCTCCTCTGCCCAACTCGTTCACGAAGTATTTCGCCACGTCCTTGCCTCAGGCCAGGCTAACTCACGTCGCATCCTGCGTTTCCAACCAGTGGCAGCCACATGCCGACCGGAAGTAACAGATCTCAAAAATCTCGTTCGTCATGTTTGGTGCGACTGGCTGCACTTGCCCACTGAGCACCCCACTTCGGACTGTCGCGTCCACGCGGATGTCCCACCCCAACGTATGGCGTTTGTAGCTCGACCGCCGGAGGTTTCGGATGGTGATGACCTCGGGGAGAGGCGTTCTGTCAAACCGTTCACCTTCACCGTGAACTTCAAGTCCCGCAGTTCCGATCGTCTGTCCAAACCGGACGCTGTGGCAGCTGTGATTGCCGCCATTTCTGAGGTCTCGCCGGATTGGTCTCCAGTGTGTGCTGCCGCCGATGTTGTAGTCAGCGTGGATGTAATTCGCAATGTGGCGTGTTTGAGCCTCTTGGAGAAGTTTACGGAATTTTGGAAGTATAACCTTTACGAATTGTCTCCGGTGACTTGATGTCTTTAACACCTGGCCATGCGTCATCGGTTTTTGACCCGCCAGCCACCTCTCTGTTTTGTCAATCAGACTCCACCAGCTACTAAATTCTGGACTGCCTTGGCTTTTTTGTGCTATAGCTAGTTTGTTTAGTTCAGTGCAGTTTTTGGGGGAAATAGACGTGAGCCTTTGAGTACTCTATTTACAACGTAAAATTAGGTGTGGTGTACAGAGAAATTGTCTGGACTGAAATAATTCAAATAGGCCCATAATGGTATGATAAAATGGGAGCGAGTGTCAAGGGATGAGCTCGATCTCTCATCGCTCTTGATCATTTTGGAAAATAAATATATCAAGGTTCTTGTTAAAGGTTTGTATCGATGGTAACATCACAACATGTGATGGGAGAGCATTCCATGGTTTGACCACTCTGACAGAGATGGAGAACTTCCGCACATCCCGCCTTGTTTGGTGAGTGCGCAGTTTTAACGGGTGACCTTGGAGATTGATCCTCCAAGGCCAGGCTGCAGTCCAACCCCTTCATAATGTGGAATGCCTGCGAGAGATCCCCGCGTAGTCAGTTTTAGTCTAAGTGATATTTTTCTCGAATTCGAGGTTTGGGGTATGCATGTTAACGGGGGGGAGGGAAGGGGAGGAGGACAATCAGTTTGTTCTACTTCTCTCGCGAGCGCCCAAACTTCTTCACTAATGATCCTTCGCTGACACCACCCCTAGGACGCCCTTGCCGTTGTCCGTGCTTCCTTTTATCATCGCACCCAATTATGGCGTCTGACCATATTCAGATATTCCCAGTTCGCGGTACTAGTCATTTGACGTAAGGACTGCACTTACTTGGCTTCGCACAAGGTGTCCTCCCTCCAAGTGGGAATTCTATGTCCTGGGACTACTCATCTGCTTAATTGAATCGATCTAAGTCATCCTGTTTGACCTGAGAGGGATTCTAGATTTTGCATGTCTTGGAGGGCTTGTACTTGTTAACTGAAGGCAAGTTGTTTTCTGAAGAACTGCGTGCAGGTCTAGAGTTCGGAAATCAGTAGACGTTGTGGAACATCAGGCCGTGTTAGCCTTGAGTAACATTTTTTTACTATGCCTTATCTGTTTAATGTATACTGAAGATCATTTTTAAGAAAGTCACTCTCCAACGCATGCCCATCTCCCTCCTCTTGGCTGGCTTCTTGCATTGGTCGGCATGCACTCACTGAACCTCATGGCTCGAGTTAAGATACACTCAGGCGCTGCTAAAGGTCAGGAGTTAGTGTTGGTCACTGATTTATCCTGATGACGTGACAAAAATCGGCGTTCTATTTACTAGTTGAAGCGTTGATCTCGAGTCCACGCGGGCGGCCGCATAGCAACTAAAAATCAATAATTAAGAGGTATTGTTAACTAAGAATAGAAGGACTTGGCTTCTTTTGTCATTGTCAGCTAACAGAATCCAATACTAAGCGAGGAGCCTAGGACCTGAACACGAGCCAAGACCGAAAATAGCGAATGGTATACACTTTATCCAGCTGAATTTTCTAGGTCAGTTTTACTGATTATCCACTGTTACCCACTCGACGCTGAAATTAAACATGAAGGAGGGCAAAGTTCATACTGCGTCTAATTAAATAACTTAAGTGGGGAGCGTGGCCATTTTGAGTTCTTTCGAAAAATCGACGCAGCTCAGTGCGGAGGTTTGCCTGAGAGATGAAAAAAGACTCTCACCGTTGCATTCAGAAATTACAGGATGCTCTCTCTACACTGAGCCCCGAACACGACCGACACCCGACGATAAATGATATGACCGGCTTAATGCGGCTGGAGAGCTATGACCTGCCTCTCCGCACGCAATAAGTCGAGACTAATGTTGTCGTGAAAAACACGTCTAGGAACTCGGTGTCGTGTCGGAGCTTTGCACGAGGTTGCTCCATCAATCGGAAACTCGCAAGCTGTCCGTCCGAAGCAGCTGGTGTTTATTCATTAGCCAACCGGACTTCTGGACGACCGGTTTGTAAATCCAAAGGCCAGAGGTGACGGGAAAACCAGACTACTGGGCTTTCGCAGGAAAACTCTTCCAACCCGGGATCCAAAGGCTGCAAGCAATTAACTAACCGCAACCTGCCTAACGCACGAACTGCGATGCATCCGGAACCTCCCTCCACACAGAGCTGTGGCACTAGCACTGATTGGTCTCCATGGCCAGCAATAGCATGTTCTTGACAGAAGGCGTGAAGCCTGATTTTCTTTAAGTGTGAATGGTAGGTTTATATCAAATACGGCACCCCCCTCGGAGAGGAGCCAAATAGCTCTGAAGAGAAGGTCCCTTTCTCTGCCAAAGTCCAATGACCTGAGTTAGGCAGGTCGCTCGTTTCGGTCAGATTGTTAGGCTCAGCGAAGGTTAGGCTTAGGGTTTGAGTTTTGGGGTTAGGGTTTTCGGGTTAGTTTTTTGTGTTAAGGTTTGGGTTAGGGTTAAGTTTAGGGTTAGGGCTAGGTTTTAGGGTTAAGTTTAGTGTTAGGTTTTAGGGTTGAGGTTAGGGTTTGGGGTTAAGATTAGGGTCAAGTTTAGGGTTAGGATTTCGCGGTTAAGGTCAGGGTTAGGTTTTAGGGTTAGAGTTTTACGGTTAGACTCAGGGTTTTAGTGTAAGGATAGCTCCCGCATTTCGAGCTGCGAACTGTGATCTGACCAACCCTTCTCAAATAATAAATGGAACGCTGGGTGGCGAACATCATATGGGTTTAATGGTGATGGTGGTAGGCGCGGAATATTCAGATGAGAATAACGAAGAGCAACCTGACGGTCAGGATGCCTGCGTTCGCGATTGACAGAACGGTAATGCCTGATTTTTGGTTGCTAACTTGGAGTAGATCAGTCGGAATAAAGCTTTCTAGGCTCAGACCGAATGTTGGTATGAATATTTGAGCCGAAATCCAGTGGGATAACTGCGTAATATTTGTATGCTGCCAACAGGCAATCAGTAGTATACGGCCGTTCAACCATCACGAACGATGATGTCCAGTTCGACCGCTTATTCTGGCGATGTCCGCCGCATGCTCCACAGCATGACGGGCGCAGGCACGGTGACCTGCGTGCGCCTGAGCCCGGTGTGAGCCAGGAAGTCCGGAAGCGGGATCGGTGCAGTGGTTGACAGAGGTAAATAGTTCCTCTATGAATGTCACATGCGCCTGGTCCGTGCACGATGGACGGGGTTTTCGCAAAAACAAAAAATGGCAACTTGTATTGCATCTGAATGGGAGTGTCTTAGAGGTCACATTGGGGCAGGAGTCACTGCAGCCTGGTCCTCCGCTCTGAGAGGAGGGGCATTTTATCCCGTTGATTGGCAGCCATGGTTTTTAATATATTGTTATAGTTTAAAAGCGAGTCAGATTGTTTATAGTAATCTGAAAAAAATGAAGGGCTAACCGAATCAGTGGAATTGAGTGATTGACGTTTCAGAGGGCTTATCCGACTCTCCATTACCAAAACGTTTTGTGTAATAAATCGACATTTTGCAGAGTCGACCTCACTTCTGCTCCCAAGCACCAGTCCATTATCCGAGCCGGTCAGTCGTCCAATGCTGGTATTGAGTGCAAGTCACCGGTGCGGCGCGAACCCGCGCCCAGGTGAGCCAGCACACTTCCATGTGGCATTTATTATGACGCCACAGTCCCAATAACGCGTGCCTTACCCCGAACTGAGCCGCATGCTGACCCAGCGGAGCTTATGTATGATGTATCCATGCTGACGACACAGGTACTAGCCAGAAGCCCAGACATATGCTTCGCCAATTTTCTGCTGCTGCATGGCCCAACTGCCAGGGTTTCAGCTCATCATCCGATCTCCCAGTGTTACCGTGTGCTTTCTGCTATATACTCCAGTTTTGACATGTTAGCTGTCTAACCTCCCTAGAAATTAATGCGCTAACGTGATCCAAAAGTGGACATGAACGTTTGGGTTGAAATGCATCAGCTTCGGTGGAAAAACCGCGTAATATTCAAAGACTGACAACAGACAGCCAGCAGTATACAACTTTCACCATATTGATAGCACAGATGCCGCCTAAAAGTTCAGATACATATTTCGTCGATTTTGTGCCGCTCATGACGCATTTTCGGGGGTTCTATTCACCGGCGGGTCTCTCAGGGCACTCCATGTGCTGCCTAATATTTACGCCAGTTTTTACTGTTGGGCTTTTAGATTTTCTCAGAAATTTCACATTCCGAGGGCTGGGAAGGACCCTAGAGAGTTGGCGAGCTATCGTCCAGTGAGCCTGACCTTGATCTACAAGCTTTACTGGGACGGTAAGGTCTACATGCGCCTCAGCAGACAGCAAGTGTCCCCACACGCTGTTCCAACCGTTTAAGTTGTTAGCCCCGGTACGGAGTACGCGCATAATCCTGAGCTTAGTGTGGCTGCGACCAATCGATAAAGGCGATCAGATCAAGAAGCTTAAACATTATGGTCGCTACGTTGATGACATCTTTGCGATTGCAACCACAGAAACCGACGTCGCTGCCCTCCTAAATGCTGCAAATCAGGCACATTCGTCGATCAAATTCACGTTGGAGATGGAGTCGGCTGGTTCACTTCCTTTCTTAGATGTCCTTCTAAACAGGAGATCTGACGGTAGCATCCGAAGGAGTGTCTATCGAAAGAAAACCTGGTCTGGACAATACACGAACTTCGCTAGTTTCGTACCTCTCCAACAAAAACGGAATCTAGTCAGGTGTTTGGCACAAAGGGCTAAAAAATTTGTTCGAAAGATAGTATCGAGGAGGAACTTGGAAAAATCCAGGACTTGCTTCGCGAAAATGGGTATCCTGACAGGTTCATTGCAAAGAACCTTGCCGAACGACCTGCAAAACCCACCACACTAACCGCCAAGAAGAAAACGTTGTTCCTCAAAGTCCCCTTCCAAGGAGACGCTGCAGGTGAACTCCTAAGAAGACGCCTTGACCAAGCTGTCTCGGGAACCTTCCCAGCAGCAAGGGTTCGCATATCATTCTCCACTAACCCTATT